TCCTTGTTGAAGTTAGTAATATTCAGATGAGAAATAAAGGGCAAATACTTGAACCTTGAGACTGCAGTGATTTATTTATCAACTTCTTGAGCAAAGTAGAATTCTGTCTTATGTCATTTAAATTATGATTGAGTGTATTCCTAGGAGAGAACCTTTGTAGCTTGTTCTGAAGGCTTAATATAGGAACTGAGTGGAATTTTATGTATCCTGCAGCAGGAGATGATACAAGCTTCAGTTCTTAAAAACCTATGCATGCTAATAGGATTCTGCAGTTTCCAAGGGTACAATTGGTCAAGGAGTTCAGCTATTGTCGTAGCGCATCAGGATTTATGATATGTTAATTCTTGGTGAGACCCTAAAAGTGAGGGATGTTGGTTCTAAAGAGCCCAGCTCTACTCATGTGCTGTTATAAAGATGCTTACTAGGTTCAAGTTTGCAAGATTATATTTATTGTTCTATGTTTAGTTGTAGCTCTTTGGCTTCCTCCCCTATTTCTTTCATCTTGCTATTTATGTAAGTTATTTACAGTACTCCCCCTGCCACCTTGGAAAAGCTCTGTCTTGACTACCTGCTTTCCTCTTTCCACTTCCCCTGCCACCTGCAGTGATAGTCCAGTACAGAGACAGCTCTAGCAAAAATGTTGCTTGTTGACGTTTTAGAGTATTTTTCTTGGACACAGAAGCAACCAAGATTTTTTAAAATGAAAATGATGTAACCATTCATGATCACTTGCAACTTCACTGAGTCATGAGTCTCCCTCTGTAGGACATAAGGGTGGTGTAGTAGCTCTGCCTCCCGTCCCTTGTCTGTCAGCTCTGCTGCTGTTCCTTGCTACTGCAGTCACATGATGATCAAGGGACACTTCTCAGTAGCAGATATTTACTGGCTCTTAATTCCAGACCAAAGCGATTGGGCTGAAACTGCATCTGTTATTTCTTCCCATAAATTGTTGTTTGCCCCCAGCTATTGAGAACAGAGCATGATAAAAACTGAACTGGATAACTTGGGAACAGCTAGAGATGTGAAAGATCTGTTTTTCCACTTTATTTTGTGTACTTTATATCCTGTCTTTCTTCCCAATGTGCTTGCTTCATTCTTGTCTCCTCCATTTTATCCTCACAACCACCCTGTGAGGTAGGTTAGGCTTGAGAGTTTGTGACTGGCCCAAGGATATCCAGCAAGCTTCCATGGGAAAGTGGGGATTTAAACCTGGGTTTTCCAGACCCTAGTCCTAGTCCAACACTTTTAAACACCACACTGGCTCTCAATTTAATTGCTTTTGTGTAAAAGCCACTATATCCATATCCCTCCAGGGTAATTATGCCAGGTCTTGACTCCCTTCCCAGCACCGTTTCCCAGAGAGAATACCAGGTGCCATCAGGAGGTCCATCAGTGGGGCCAGGACACTAGAAGCCCTCCCGCTGTTGGCCCTCCCCCCAAGCATCAAGAATACAGTGCATCACTTGTGCCAGATTGAGAATTTCTATCTATACTTTGTGGCTGATAGCCACTGATGGACCCCTGCTTGATTGAAAGGTTGCCTTTCTCCCTACCACAACAGCATGGCCTGTGGCAGCTACTTTTAGATATTCTGGAGAGCTGATCATGATCTCTGGAATCTTGTCTAGTTGCATGGTGAGGATCCCATTTTGGTACTTCAGTCTTTGCGCTATGGACTTGTAACCACAGAATGGGATAAAATGAGTCTTTCTGTCTGCAGAACAGAATCACTGGCTGAAAAACTCTGTGTGTGTGTACATGTGTTTGTTCTAAGGCCTTTCTTTCCGTGGAATGTTCTTCACTCTGTATTTCTCTGTGGGAGCAGTTTAGTCTTTGAATGTGTCAAGCAAGTTGGCTTCTCAGACATCCTTTGTATAGTAACAGCATGTGCTGAGAAACTGGCAGCTTTTATAACACAGTCACTCTTTCTCTCTGACTCTGCCCTTCCCCCCATTCCCCCTCAAGCTCTGGTGACATTACATAGATGTGCTTGCAAGAAAAACAGCAGAGAGAGAGAGAGTTGAGTGTCTGCCAAAACTCTGCAGTCTGAAATGGAGCTGCCTTTCTTTCTCCTTCCCCTCCCCCCCTGTTTTCCCAGGTCTTCAGTTGTGTACATGATTTTCCTCCCCTCTTTTTCTAGATTTCATTGCTGAGAACATACTCCAACAGGGAGATCTTTCCCCCCATACTATAATGCTTGATTCTAAAGATTACTCTCTCCAGGTTTCCATGCCTATTCAGTGTAATTACATGTATCCTTATCGCATCCTAGTAACGTTCAATATGCTTTCATTCTAAACATACTGGCATTGATTGGACTTGTAAAGCTGTTGGTTTATTGTTCAGTGACTCCCTCAGGGACAATAGCTAGAGGAAAACTTCAAGCTGTGAAAAATGTTTTTCTTACCCTTTACTGTGTGTGATCCTTTTTCAGTGCCTCTTCAGAGTTGCTTTTTTAATCGTCTTTCTTTGATGTTTGATTCTACAAGTGTTAAAAGGCCAGTTAGGACAGTGGTATGGACATACACTCGAGACAGGAGCTGTGTCTTGACCTTCCCAGCAGACCTCTTGATTGGTCTGGAGGACACTCTGTCTGACCTCTATCAGCTGATGCAATAAAGGAGTCTCTAGTCCAGACTTAGGTGGTATTCTGTATGTAGCATCTGTGAAGTCCTTCCCACCTTCTCTCCCTTTCTTTTCTTTTCTTTTGATTATCCCTAGAAGACATGTGAGTTCTATCAGGTTCTTGACCTAAACAGGCATGAGGAAGCTTCATTATGCCACTTCCACATTTTTTTTGGGGGGGGGGCGCTTAAGCAGCAAAAACAAATTGTGGCAGTTGACCAACTGTGGAAAGAAGTCCACAGAATGTTATAAGATCACACAGAATTTTTTTACAGCTGTGCTATGCACACCATCTGAGAGAGTGATGCATGCTACTTTCAACATGGTACCCACCCCTCTTTATAAAATGAGAGGTTGTCATGGATGTGTCTGCATAATCAGAGGCCTCTGGGCAGTCTCTCATTTTCCAATGGAAAGGGTGTTTGCAAGGATAGGAAGTAACATGTAAACATCTTGAGCCTGGGGAAGGGGTCAGGCTTCCCTGGCCATGCTTCTGGAGAGGGGGTAATGATATCATGGCTGGAGGAAGAATCTGGCCCCCAAGACTGGAAGAGCCTCCCTTCTTCGTAGTATAGTATTTGAAAGAAAATAACTGGGCACAAAATTCAAAAGCTTTATTGTAGTGAAGCATGTACAAGTAAAATGAGGGTTGTACATTTGACATTAATGCTTGTTGTGTGTGTTTCTAATGGTTTCTAACATTGCTTGCCTTTGTCACTGTTGCAGCTTAGTTTCAGTAACACCCCTGTCCTCGAGATTGTTCTCTCTATCAGAATATAAGCATCTGCTTGAGTTAGGCTTCTTGTCCCCAACTCCTTAACTTTGTACTTCTGTTAAATATCACTCGCCATTTTGCTACCTCTTCCTTTCAGAATTTCACTCTCTCAGTCATTTAGTTGTCTCATTGTTCACCTTGAATACAGATCACCTGTGAATGTTTAAATAGCCCTGGCTATGTTTAAATAGCCCTGGCTTTGAGATGCTTCCTTCATTCCACATATAAAAACCGCTGTAAAACCTTTATGATTTTAAGCTTCACACATAGATTTAAAGGATCAGTTTATGATTTTTAAGTAAATGATCAGCCATTCCATCTCAGGATGCTGAGAAGACTACAAGCACCTCATTTGTGTTCCACCCTCCCCTCAGGGAGCCTAACAGCCATCCCACCAGAAATTGTTAAGAATAATAATGCTAATTGAATACTTCCAGTGTGCAAGTTGTTTTGTGCAAGTTTCCAGTTGCCACAATTAACTCGATGATTAATTTCCACCATACACAGTCATATTTGGATTCCGCTATTCCTTCCACAAGCTTCGAGGAGTCTTTGTAACAACCCTATAAGAAAAGTTGGACAGACAGAAAGATTTTCCTAGGCCCACCCACTGAGTAACACACTGATTCTTCCCTGTCTCTTTCTGCTGGCATGTCATCCCTTCTGAGTTGGAATTGTGGCTGGAGTTTTCTATGTATCTGTCATTCTTATCTCACCCTTCCTTGCAAGAAACCAAAGGTGGTATACATAGGGTTCCCCCTCCATTTTACCTTCACATCTACCATATGAGGTAGGTTAGGCAGAGTCTGGGCTTCGTGGCTGAGCGGGAATTTTTACCTGGGTCTCCCTACTCTTAATCTGGCACAAAATTGCATGACACTGGCTCTGAAGTCAAGCAAGACTTTTTCTAGCTTCTGATTTGAATCCTGACTGCACCTGGGAGATCCACAGAGTGCTATTGGACATGGGGCTTTTTTGCACTATACAGCTTTCAGTTTATTTTCCCTACCATAGCCCCATCTGCACCTCTGCTCTTTGCACAGCTACCTGGAACTGGCTCTCTGTTTTTTATATATATATATATATATATATATATATTTAGACATTTTTACTCTGCCCTCCCCGCAAGCGGGCTCAGGGCGGCTTACAAAGGGGCATACACCCATACATAAAACAGATAAAACAGTAAATCATGACTAATAACAACAGTAACAATAATAAAGTGCTTTTTGTAAACAAGATGGTCTTGAGTGGTTTTGATGCCATCTTCAAATCCTCCCCATTGGGATGTAACTGTCCGGCAGATAGTTCAAGCCAATCCCACATTGTCAGTGGCCATGCGATTTGTGGCGGAGCTTCCAAGGGCGATTCCTAATACCGATGATATTGCCACCGTTGGTGGTGGAGGCAGCGGCATATGTCTTCTTCATGGATTTCAGAGATAGGGGCTTGTAGAGCTGGAGACTGGGAAGTAAACTGCCTTTTATATTCCCAGTTCTTTGACATAATATTTACCTCTCCTTGCTACAACTTTTTGTTATAACAGTACATTTAACAACATACATATTAATGAATGTAAACCTGTTTGTTTCCCTTGCAGCCAGTTGCTGAACCAATCCCAATCTGCAGTTTCTGTCTTGGTACAAAAGAACAAAACCGAGAAAAGAAACCTGAGGAGCTTATCTCTTGTGCTGACTGTGGCAATAGTGGTATGTATATCTTCTGTATCTTGGTCAATGAAATCTGTTGCACTGGTGAAAACATATTGATTCATCAGTTTGGAGACACTGCCTCCCAACATCACCATGGTACTAGCCCTGATTCAGTACTGGAAGCTACTAAATTGTACAAATGGGCAGGAGGAATTCCCTTGTTGGGGAGGGGAGCTTTTTAATTCCTTTCCTAATTGCTGCTTCTTCCCCATATGTAGCTGAGTGATGAATTTGGCTAGACAGGATAGCAAACAGCTTTTGATTTATTAAGTTTCTTTGCTGCAGGAAAGATTTTTTTTAAGGTTCCAGTATAACTTTCTGAGTCAGAGTTCTTCTGTCTCCTTGCCTTCCTCCCCCAAATTATATGTATACCCATACAATTAGGCATTCATCCTTTAATATAACTTAATTTAAAACAAAAATTCCTCTAAACTAGGATGCAAAACTGCTTTAGGAATGGGTGTGTGCATGCTACTAATCAAGACACCCCCGCTGTTGGATCAACCCCTGCACTTAACTATTGTCAGGTTACTGGCTGTGTTGTTGGGGACTTATTTTCTGTTTTTCTGGTATTTCTTGAAAGTGCTGCAGACACTTGCAAACCAAAGGGTCAGAAAAGAACAAGAAATGATAGCGCCATTGTTTTTAGCTTTGAGGCATTGTATAGGAGACACCCCTCTTGTTCTTGCTTTAGAGCTATATTGCCCAACTGGAAGTAAAAGGGAAGCTGACTGAAGAAGGAGAGCACAGAGTTGCCTGGGAATGTTTTGTGTCAGTATCTGACTTCAGGTTATTTGGATAGTTTGGCCATTGCTGGGTCTGCTTGTCATTTATCATGCAAAAGCCACCATGTGCTCAACTTAGAATTCAGTCTGTAAAAGAACACGAAAATATGCCCCTTAGCTGAATGAGCAGTTAGTTAGGCATTATTTGGGAACAGCTCTGTGGTTAGTTCACTGTAGCATTTGCCACTCATTGACTGCTGGAATTACCGCTGCATGTGCCCCTGTCATTTCAGGACCTGTCCTGCACATCACCAGAGGTATTCAATGTTGTATTAAGTTTAACATTTAGTAGAAGGCAAGCCTGAATGTTTAGTCTAAAGGGCATTTCACATAACTCTTTCCATTCTAATCATCAGTGGTAGTTGCAGAAAAATAAACAAGCAAACCCAGGGTTCTGAAGAAGTGAGCCGTGACTCACAAAACCTCATCCCCTGCCACATATTTTGTTAGTCTTTAAGGTGCTACTGGTCTCTTGCTCTTTTCTACTGCTACAGACAGACAAACACGGTCCCCCATCTTGATCTATCTCCAGGGCCCTAGGACACCTTAAAGACTAACCAATTCATTTGTCTGATGCACATGATGACAAATAGGCTATAGCTACTGTTAGTCTTTAATAAAGTGAGTACTCTTTGTGGCTCTTCGGCTTTGAAACGGAGATGAACACCGCAGCCCTAGAGTCGGATTCGACTGGCTTTCGAGCAAGGGAACCTTTACCTTTTAGCATCCTTATCACATGCAGTATCTTTCTTGTACCCATTCTTATGTAAGGACATGCATTGCTTGATGTATAGTTAACCAACGGCATTAGAGTCAAACTAGAAGAAAATAGGGTGACTCTCTCTGACTTGACTGAAATTGCCCGAGGTATAGTACTGGGGATTTTTTAACACATATATGTGGATACAGTCCTAGAGCAAATAACTTTGAAACATTGTTCTCTGAATGGCCAACTTGGCATGTGCCTGGGCGTCTCTGAGTTTACACAATTTCTCCTAAGTGGATGGTTTCACAGTATTGTTCGGAGGACTGCGTATTTGGGCAAGACTACAGGGTTTTCTTCCAAAAACACATCATGCACTTTTTAGAAAATGTATTTCCTTTCTCTCCCAAGATCTGTTCAAGGCATCTCACAGAGTAAAAAAAAAATCAAACTCTTAAAAACAGCTATATAAGACTTATCAATATTAAAACAAGCTGGGGGCAATAAAGCAGCAATCAGCAGTGTAAAATGATATCAACAAACCAGTCCTCAAGCTAGAAGCAGAACATAGCCACTAAAAAGATGGAACTCCTCAGTTCAAATCCTAGGCAAAAAATTGTTTTGGCCTGGCACTTAATAACAGTAATAGAGTAGCCAGATGCGCATAAAGGGAGAGGGTATTCCAAAAGCAAGATGCTACCATTGCAGAAGTCTGGTTGCTACCCACCTCACTTCTACAGGAAAGGGTACTTGGGAGCATTGCTTCAGAAGATTATCTTAGGTGGTGGAATGGGCAGTATAGGAGGAGGCAGCTCTTCAAATACTCTCTGACACCAAGCCATTTAGAGCCTTAAAGGTAAGAATAAGCACTTTGAGTTGTGTTTAGAAACAGATGGGCAGCCAGTACAGATCTTTCCTTGCTAGGGTGATACAGTCCCGGTATCTGGTCCCCTCAATGGTTTGATCCTATCTCAGAGTGCTAAGCATACACTGCATTGCTTTCCCAGTACTAGAGCCTTACTAATGCTATATGCAACAGTCTCATCCAATGTTCCCTCTAAGCTGTGGAGTCTTGTGAGCAAAAATTCTACTTTCTGAGCTCCTGGCATTAAGGTTCTGAGCGAGCGACTGGACTGCTGCATAAATCAGTTTGCTCTGAAGCCATCCTTCCTGAGCTAAGACAAAGATGCGTGAGCCAGAGGCTAAAAAACTGTGAGCTAGCTCACACCAACTCAGCTTAGAGGGAACACTGGTCTCATCTAGTGATTTTTTCTTTGCATCTTCAAAGGGATTGTCACAGGAGCTGTAAAAGGTCAGAGCAGTAAACTTCTTGAAATCATGTCAATATGTGTAGCCAAATGCATCTCATAGAAATCGCAAGAAGGAGACTGTCCTGGCTATCCTGTAGCCTGTGCATGGAGTCTTTACTTATTGGTACCTGCTAAGGGGAGAAGCCCTGCCAGCGTGTGTGACCTGTACTGCTCTCCTGACATATACTACTTGAATGTCTGCTTTTCTTGGTTACTTGTGAAACTTCTGTGCGTACACAGATCTCTAATGTGAGCTGTGGAATTGTCTTCTCTTTTGGTGCAGGTCATCCATCCTGCTTGAAGTTCTCCCCGGAGTTGACAGTTCGGGTGAAGGCCTTACGATGGCAGTGCATTGAGTGCAAAACGTGCAGTTCCTGTCGAGATCAGGGCAAAAATGCTGTGAGTGGCTGGAGGAGGGTTGTGCCCTCTGAAATGTAGATGGTTAGATCTCTGACAAATTGCATCAGATTCTACAGGTGGACATGAAACTAGGGTAACTGAAAGGAGGGTGGGAATTGATCTGAACAGTGCTAAAATCGGGTGGAAGTTATAAATTGAGCTCACTCACTAGTTCTGTGCTCTGTTCCTTTGCTTCACAATGTGACAGGCAAACAAGACAAGGATGCCAAGAACAAATATGATCCTTAATCCTCATATATCAGTGATAAGCAACTGGCAGCATGTGGACCAAATCCAGGCTGCGGACAATAAACAGTAGGATTGCCAGCTGTCTGTGCCCTTCTAGTAACTAAACGGACTCTTGTAGCACCAACTAACCTTGATGCTAGCTTTAGGCAGGAGGGAAAACTGGTGAATACACAGGTTGTTCTATTCATATAATTTTAGCAGTTTTTCTTTTCCCTTGCTGACCCGTCTGCAGCGTTTAGCATCAGCTGTGGTTCCACTGTTAGTAGCAAACTGGGCCAGGAGGGAAAGGATCTGTTATTGCCTCCAGTGGCTTGCTCACCCGTCAGCCTAGTTGCCAATTACTTTCATAAAAGTATGAACAGCATGTGGTCTTATCTTTTTAGCTCAGTGGGCAATGGTTCAGTAGTATAGTACTGTGACAATACCTTATGTCCCTGGATTTCTTTAGAGGCATGAAAGTTTAATGTATTACAAGGGACATTGTACTGGAATCGATCATTTATCTGAATTCCTATCAAAATATGTTTAAAGGTTTTCCTTGTATTCCATCTGCCTTTAGTTCTCCTTTCCTATGTTATACTCATCCTTGGCTGTATCCATGTTGCCTTTTTGACACGCTTTCTATTAAGTCTAGTATAGACTTATTTGAATAGGTCAACCCTTTGAGCTTGCATGTTAATAGTGTTAACCAGTAACTTGTGTAATTCACAGGATAATATGCTATTTTGCGATTCGTGTGATCGGGGCTTTCATATGGAGTGTTGTGACCCCCCTCTGACCAGGATGCCAAAAGGTGAGGAAGGCTAAGGAACTGACGGGGAGAGGATTTACCAAGCTGTAACACCCCTTTTGTAGCTTTTTGGTTACATGGAAGTCTTTTTACAAGGTAAAATGGAATGGTAGTGTAGGCCTGGTTAAAAAGTTCTGAATAAGTTTAAAGAGTAAGTTTAAAATGCACTAGCACAACACTGGTGGCCCAGTTTATGGTGCTACCTATTTAGTGCAGTATGGTGCCTAAGAGTGCGAGTCATGAGCCGGGAGGTCCCTGGTTCAAATGTTTATTTATTTATTGGATTTTCACCCCGCCCTCCCAGCCAAAGCCAGCTCAGGGCTCTTACATAAAATCAATACATAATTTACAATGTTACCTCTGTTGATGGCATGCTAGGCAGTCTAGGTGAGCTACAGTACCTCAGTCTTGGCTCCTTATCTGCAATATGAGATAAGTATTACAGTCCTCCTTGACCGGGATGTTGTAGGGATTACTGAGATAAATCATGCAAAGTGCTTTGACCTCCAAAGCAGTGTTAGTAAATGCAAACTATTATTCTCTTGAACTAAAGTGCCACCAGCTTTCTGCAGATGTTATGATAAATCTGTTTACCTTGCAGGCATGTGGATATGTCAGATATGTCGACCACGTAAAAAAGGAAGAAAACTTCTACATAAGAAAGCAGCACAGATTAAGCGGCGCTATGCCAACCCAATAGGACGTCCCAAAAACCGATTAAAGAACCAAAATGCAGTGTAAGTTGTCCTGTATGTATATGAGAGAGAGAGAAAAGAAGAAAAAAGGGGGCACCTGTTCATTTTGTCAGGGCTGCTTTCTTTTTGATGGAGCCTGTTGGGATAAGTGTTTTGGTATATATTCTGGAAAGTTATGAGCAGTTTTGTCAAAATACCCAGTAGTTTTAAAATGCTTTGCTTTTGAAGCACATGGATTTGCTGGGTCTTTTGATGCTTAAACTTCTAGGAATTCAGCATTTGATGGATTCAACCTTTTTATATGTAGAAAGAACCTGTTACACTGTTCAATAAAGGCGACTGGTCCTCAGAAAACAAACTAGCTGTATTTTTTTCTGCTGGTTTTAAGCAACCACAGTGTAGTGCTTTGAGGGATAAATATTTAAACCTGAGGGAAGGGACAGTAATCTCATGTAGCTGGAAGTCCTACTTGATTTGGATTCAATTGTGAGATTCTGTTCTTCAAGAAAAGAAGCCTGAGCCTCTACTCTAGCAGTTTTGGAGCTCTAGATACTATTTATACTGTCTTCTGAATAATGTGCTGCTGCCATAGGAGGAAGCCTATTCTCGTGCCTTTCAGGATTCTCTCTACAGCCATGAATTCTGGGTGCTGCCTGATGTGTTGCTTTTCATTACTCAGGTCCAGTGTCTCATGATCCATGTCAGTGTTGCTTATGAGTGGTTAGATTGTCAATTTCACTTGGGAACGCGGTGTCAAAATTTCATCCCAAAAAACCTGGGGAGCTATCTGAAGGTGAAGTGGTAGATTTGTTCATTTATTTCGTTTCCAGTCCTCATTTCTTACAGTGACTCAAGGTGGATTACTATTAAAAACAATGCAGTAAGAAACAGTACAATATGTAGAACCAACAGAACAAAAAATGCACGGATTCAGATGATAAAGCAACATTACAAGACTGGAGCATAGTGCAAGTGAAACTTTGTATTACATACAACAGTAATAAAGCTGAATTTTTAAGGGCTTAACCAACAAAGGATTTTCTTATAACTATAGAGCTTTTGCAGATGATGTAATGTTTATGGTGGAAGAGCCCTTACGGAATTTACTGTTGCTCATGGAGAAAATAAAATAAAAAGTAATAAAGCTAAATTGCAGGGGTGGAGAATGGTCAGTAAAATCAGTAAAAGTCCGTTTTTTCATCTTGGTCAGTAATTTGTCAGTTTTTTAAAAAATTGGTCAGTAAAGTCAGTATTTCTTTGATTTTTGTGAATGCAGTTTGTGTTTTTCCATTTTCCTAAGAGTAAAAGTGATTTGGTGAAATCTTCCGCAAAGTATAGAAACATAATTAACCTCTTAAAACATGAGACAATGAAAATAGAGGTGATGGATATTGTGGGATTCAACATAGCGCAGCTCATGCTAGAAGGAGTTGAGAAAGCAATGGAAGAAGAGGACAAGGGAAAAAATGCTTGGATGCAGTGCAGAAAACTGTTGAGAAACAAAAGAAGTTTGTGGATAACTTTATTTATTTATTCGATTTATACCCCACCCTCCTCGCTGGAGTGGGCTCAGGGTGGTTTACAAAGCGATTAAACATATAGGTAACAAATTATATACAATCTTAAAACAAATAATAAAACTACATTATCATAAAGTGCTAGTAAGTGATCAGGTACTTATAACAATGCTTACAGAAGGCAGAACCAATAGTAGTGTTGTAATCAGATGATCTATATTGGTGGTTGGCCTCTATATTTAGGCAACAGCACAGGCTGTTGGTGGTAAGCCAAGGACCAGGGCACTGTCACTTCTCAGTTATTTGATGTTATTTGGTGCGGCTCCTTAGTCAAAGGCCTGGTAGAAGAGCTCCATCTTGCAGGCCCTGCGGAACTGTAAAAGGTCCCAAGGGCCCTGATCTCTTCTGGGAGCTCATTCCACCAGTACGGAGCCACCACTGAGAAGGCCCTGGCCCTGGTTGTGGCCAGCCTGGCATCTTTAGGACCTGGGAGGCCAATCGATTTTGTGACCCTGAGCGCAGTGCTCTCTGGGGAACATGTGGTGAAAGGCATTCCCTCAGGTATGTGGGCCCCTGACCATAAAGGGCTTTAAAGGTAAGTACCAGAACCTTGAAGCGAATTCGGTATGCTATCAGCAGCCAGTGCAGTGCTTTTAGAATAGGCTGGATGTGCTCCCACATAGGGAGGCCTATCAGAAGCCTGGCTGCAGCATTTTGTGCTAGCTGTAGCTTCTGGATTTGGATCAAGGGCAGCCCCATGTAGGGAGCATTACAGTAGTCCAATCTCAGGGTGACCATCGCTTGGATCACTGTCACCAAGTAGTTGCATTTGAGAAAGGGAACCAACTGCCTAATCAGCCAGAGGTGATAAAAGGCTGATTTGGCAGTGGCTGCTACTTGAACCTCCATTGTTAGTGAGGCATCCAGGAGCACTCCCAAGCTCCTAACCTCTGGTGCTGGCACCAATGACGCCTCATCGAAGGTCAGAAGTAGGATCCCTACCCTTTAACTTTATTCACTTTATACCTGCTGATATATTAAAGCATTTACAAATCATGCTTATGTGGACCAGGTGCTCTGAACAGCTGGTTGTTTGGTTAATACCGTAGTCTTTTTTCTGTCACGTTTCCTGGCAATCTGTCTTTTTCCTGACTCAGATCAAAAGCCCCCTTCAGCAAAGTTCCAACGGGACCTGGTCGAGGCCGTAAGCGCAAGACTCCCCTATCCAACCAGTCCACTTGCTCATCGGAAGGAGGTTACCTGGAGCGAGTTGATGGCTTGGAATTCTGCAGAGATGCCAGCACCTCTTTGAAGTTCAACAAGAAAACCAAAGGGCTTATTGATGGCCTTACCAAATTCTTCACCCCCTCCCCTGATGGGCGCAAGGCCCGAGGAGAAGTGGTGGACTACTCTCAGCAATATAGGATCAGGAAAAAGGGCAATAGGAAATCAAGCACTTCAGACTGGCCCACAGGTATCTTATTATCTCTGTTTCACTCTCTGGATCTGAAGCACTTTCATTAGAGAATAGATTGTGCAAAATCCTATGTTGTTTATTTCTGTTATTTATAATGACAAACATTTATGCATTTTTGGCGCACTCATACTGAACACTTGGGTTTATTTGTGAAATTCACTCTTCAGCCAGTGGTCACTGAAGAACAGTTTTTAAAGCATGGAAGGACTCACTGCTGGACCACTGAGTGGCTGCAAAGTAAAAGCACTGGTCAGAAATCCTTTGATGGTGTAGAGTCTTGAATAACGTTCTTGGGTAGGTGCAGCAGAAGGATCAGATCTCTGAGTTGGTGCTTCCAGGGACCAAACAAATTGCCTCAGGCTATGAGTAGAGGAGGGTACATTACTCAGAGAACAAGAGTGCCATTGGTGGAGGTGGTGGTACAGATGAGCCTCTGGTGGTGGTGTGTCAGTAGCACCAGGACTTTCCCACTGAGATGGTTATTTAACTGTGAAGGGCTTGGATTTTTTTCCTTCCTACATACTATGCAGGTTGTTGATAATTTACTTTTATCTGTGTTCACTTTCAGACAAAAATCAGCAAATACTGTGCTACAGGCTATTATAAATTTATTTAATTATTTATTTATTTTTTAAACTTTTACCCCGCCCTCCTGCCAAGGCGGCTCAGGGCGGCTTACAAATAATTAATACCAGTATACAACTAAAACCAGTTATCACAACTAATACAATACCATACCATAAAACCAGAAAACATTACAGTAAATACAACCTATAGAGATTTGAGCTTTGACAGCCATCCGTATAAAGTGCTAGTGCTTATGTGGAACGGCCAGTGTGTCCGTGTGGCTATTAGAACACTTGTCGGAACAGCTTGGTCTTCACCACTCTACGGAATTGTTGAAGATCCCGCAGAGTTCGAATTTCAGTTGGGAGCGCGTTCCATAGCGTCGGTGCAGCTAGGGAGAACACTCTGGTTCTTGTTGCTGTTAACTTAGCATCCCTAGGACCAGAGGGGACCAGGCGGTTTTGTGTCCCGGATCTCAGTGCTCTCGGGGGAACATACGGGGAAAGGCGGTCCCTCAGGTAGACAGGTATTTTTAATATTTTTACAATTTATTCACTATATATTATTATATAAGCCTTAATACATAGAAAGAATCATATATCAAAACATCTAAGTATCGTCACAAAAGATATTGCACAGCCCTTTTATAAATTTCAGTCCTCCTTAATTATACAAAAGTTTTAAGAGGGAGGACTCCTTTAAGTCTATTAAAACTGATTTTTGGTATTTCCTACTTACTGTGGTTCCTATTTTGGTTTTGTTATTCACTTTCAGACAATCAGGATGGCTGGGATGGAAAACAAGAAAATGAGGAATGGCTTCTTGGAGGCCCAGATGTCATGACTGAAAAAGATATGGAGCTATTCAGAGACATTCAAGAGCAAGCACTGCAGGTAAAATTGAATAAAACTTGCATGGAATGTATGAGTAGAAAAGGTATGGCGAGTAGAGTGTGTTACCTGAATATGTGGTCACTTTTATTGTACCTTATTGGTCTTTTATTAATTTTTTTGATTGTATTTAACTGTTGCAAACCACCTTGGATTTTTAGTTGATTGTCTGTAAATTTATAATCTGCTAATGTATGGAAAGAAAGTAAGGTCAGATGTACCTGGCATCACTATAAGTTAACAGCAAACATAATGGGGAGTGGTGGTGATGAGTGGGAAGTAGCTCTGAGGGGTAACCCAGGAGTTGCAGTGGCATGATACAAAGTGGTGTTGGAGCTCACAAGTGTGTCCAAGGAAGCAGGTGATGAGTGGAAAACCCTTTACCACCAAAACTGTGGGACTTGGATAGTAAGGAGATAGACATGCTCTGTTTGTTGCAGAATTTGATAGTTCTTGGTATTATACTGCACGCGTACTTGGTATTAATCGGGTCTCCCTTGAGGTTCTTGAATAGCATTTCTTTGATATCCTCCTGTATAAAGTAAATTAGCTCAATGTGGGAACATGACAATCTGTAGAATTTGTCCATGTTTCAGCCTCTTCCTTCTCCTCCATTGTGGTTATATCTTCATACAAGACAGGTAGTATGTATTAAGAAAGCAAAGAGGGAAGGGGTGTTTATGACCTCTCACTTTGGAAAACTCAAGAAAGAAAAACAAGACAAGACTGTTGGACTATGTAGGCTTGAAGTTTGATATATGCCTATAACTGTTTTGTCAGTCAGACAGCTGCAGGGTGAGGTACTTTTCAGGCAGCACACATTCCCTGTCACTTACCAATATAGGGTGGAATAAGCTGCCTGAAGATGGTACTGTTTAGTGTCCCAAGCTTGGTAAAACATATTGAACACTTACTCAAGGATAACAAGCAGCTCTATCTTTTCTGTATCTTCTGAGAAAGTTTAGAAGTATCATTTGGTGCTCATGTTGTAAATAGGTTTGCAGAGCTGTTTGTTTTGGCAAGGACTGAGTTAATCCCAGCTGAGCTGCTGACGTCATCCGTATCCAGGTAGAGCGAAGGGCTGCACCTGAGCAAATTGGAATGCACCGTGCCAAGGTGCAAGAATGGCTGGATGAGTTGCTGGGGAGAGACTGAGTCCGCAAAAAAGGAGTGGTCCAAGGCAGTGTGTAGGCTGTGGGAATTGGCTGTCAGTTTTGATGGGACTTGGGGCTGTTGTGATGTGCAAGCAGCTGTACTGGAGCTGGGACTCTACCTTTATCTCAGGCATTCATTTGGAGGAGAGTTCAGTGGCTGTTGGAAAGGCACAAACACGCAAGACATTGCCACAGGTGCAGTCTGTGTTATACCTCCTTGAAGTGCTTTGTGTAAACCTGGGGTGGTTATGTTGGCAATTAACTAGGCTAAAAAATTGCAACATAGAATGTCTTTGAGATTACAGATTCTATTTTGATACGTTGTATTGTAGATTTTCATAGATTTTGCATGTTCTCCAGTCCACCCCCATAGCTTATGAAGTGGTGTCTTTGTAAATTGGCTTCACTTAGCAGGTGACATTCTTGCGTTGTGTAATCTTTCTTCTGTAGCAGGTTTGGTAATTTTACTTGTTCTGCCGTTATATAGAATAGCCAACTGCAGGACAGTTCCTACCATCAAAGGTGGCTTTAATTCAGCTATTGTGTGTCCCCCCCCCCCTTTTGACAGAGGTATCTGAACTCGTAGAGGTAAATTGGTGGCTTCATCTTGCATCCATCCTAGTGGGAAATCCTAGCCAATCCCCCAAGCTTTTTCCCTTTAAAAAATAAAAGGAAAAGAAAGAAAAAGAGCCCAGGGAATTAGTGAACTGTGGCTAAGAGGTGATGATCCGGGCAGATGAACTTGCTATTGTGCACAGACATGAAATGACAATTTTGGGGGCTCTTTTTGGTATTAAAAATGAAGAAAGAAGTCTTTATTCCAGTGTTCTTGGTAAAATGTGATAGCAGGGCAGGAAAAAGTTCTGCTCAGAGGACTGTTATTTTATGCCTGCTTTGAGACAATTAAAATATGGTGGTGAAGGAGAGGTGGAAAAAATAAGAGCTTGCAGACTCAGGGTGCTGCAGCTGTGCTTTGATACTAGCATGTCTTGCCTTGCTGGGTTAGACCAAAGGTCTGTCAAATGAAGTATTCTGTTCCCATGTTCCTGGCAAGCTCACAAGCAGAGCACGATGGAGGTAGCAATCTCCCTTGTCCTCCCCAGTGTTCTGTAAAGGCTTATTGCCCCTGAACATGGAGATTCCATTTAGCTCTGTCTCTGGCTGTTAGATTTGATAGCTATCTGCTAATCCTTTTAGACCCATCTAAGCTAGTGGGCATCACTATCTCTTGTAGTAGTGAATTTCATAAGTTAATTATTCATTGTGTGAAGACATAGATAGTATCTCACCCTTTAAACTGGTGACCAGTGCTGCTTAGTACTTTCCTGTGCTGAACCTAGATTGGAAACTCCAGTGACTTTTACATGTAAGCATCTGACCATTACTCTCTGGAAATCCAGTTTAAGGGTGGATCAGGCATAATCTGTTGGAAATAGAGACCATTCTAACTTGTTACCCTGTTTTATCCCTAAGACTCTGTGTGGTTTATAGCAGTTGTTAAAATTAATATGTTAAAAACAAGATCAGCCTTGAAAAGAATCTAGACAACTTGTCCAAACACTTGTGGTCTAAAATGAACCCTACCTTTGTAAAGCTTCTCTATCTTGTCATCCAGAGGTGTTTCTTGCTCACTACAGGCAGATGGCCATTTATAAGCATGCATAAGATTTGCGGGGGGGGGGGGGCTGTGGCAAATAAAACCCTAATTTTCCAGGACTAGCTTGTCCATCAGAACAGTGAAACTACCTGTTCTTGGATGCCAGACCTATGGAGTGTACCAAGCTGCCAGTTTATGGGAGGCAGTAAAATTCAGGATACTACTGCTGTCTCTGTTCTTGGAAACTTTAGTTGCAAAGGAGTGAGGAGGGCCTTCTTTCACCATAGGCTGCTGCTGGTGAGCTACCCTTTCTTTAAGAGGATAGACCTGTCCATTGAACACATGCCTTAGTAACATTCTGGTAGATAACTGTAGCATGCTCTACTTATCTCTGAATTAAAAGTGTCTGAAAACTGCAGAAGTACTGAATACTGTAGCAACAATTATGAGGCATCTTCTTGTGGCCAATACTTAGTTCCGTTGTTGTTCCATGTTCTTCACTAGTTTCCAGTTTGTTTCTGAGTCCAATTCAAGGTGCTAGTGATAACTTTTAATTCCACATATGACTTTGAGCCAGTGTAGTTTAAGGATTGCCTCCACCCACATGGACTTGCCTGTGGTTTCTGCTGTATGCCATGTTAACTAAGGTGAGGTGGATTGGTATGGTGATCAATGTTCCCTCTAAGCTGTGAGCTACTGGCATTAAAGTTGTGAGCAAGTGATTTGGCTACTGCATAAATTAGTTTGCTCTGGAGCCATCCTTCCTGAGCTGAGACAAAAATGTGTGAGCCAGAGGCTAAAAAACTGTGAGCTAGCTCACACTAACTCAGCTTAGAGGGAACACTGATGGTGATCAGGGCTTTTTGGCTGTTGCATCCAGACGGTAGAACATGTACCCCCAGGAGGCTCACTTTTGCCTTCTCAATCCTTCCTTTGTGGCATCCGGGAAAGATGGTTTCATTTCTGAAGGTGCTTGGGAATGTTTAAGTTTCAGTTACCTAATGCTGCTGTTTGGGTTACTTTTTGTAATTCTCCTGTTCTCGTTATCAGTTTTTACTGTGATTGTTTGACTGTTTTATGTTCTGGTGTTTTCTGCTCTCATTTGCTGCCCTGAGCACCATAAGGAAACAGCAGAAATGCAGGCTATAAAGATTCAGAATAAATAATACTCCTTGGACCAAACAAAAGGAGGAACAAAGAACTTTAGTAGAAATTGAGGTTTAGTGAGGTCCAGGAAAAAAGAGGAGGCGCATATAATTTATTTCTTGCATATTTATTTTGGACTGAGTTCCGCTTTATCCTTAGAAGAAGAAGAAGAAGAAGAAGAGATTGGATTTATACCCCGCCCTTCACTTGGAGTCTCAGAGCGGTTTACAAACTCCTTTCCCTTCCCCTCCCCATAACAGACACCCTGTGAGGTGGGTGGGGCTGAGAGAACTCTGACACAATCTGCTCTTTTTCAAGGACAGCTGTGCCAGAGCTTGTGACTGACCCAAGGTCACATCAGCAGGTGCAAGTGGAGGAGTGGGGAATCAAACCCGGTTCTCCCAGATTAGAGTCCGCGCACTTAACCACTACACCAATCTGGCCAACTTATCCATTGGGCACAGTAGGCGCAGTGCCAAGGTCCCACAATACTTTTAGGGGTCCACAAAAATGTTTTGACTTCTTTTAAAATCAGAAGGAAAAGATGAACTTTTAGGGTAAAAGAAATTTTTTAAATTTTTTCCCCTCCCTTAAGGGAAAATAAAATAAAATTTGAGGGCCCACAAAAATCTGTTAGATTTTCCTAAAACAGAAAAAAAAATGTTGAAGTTTTTAAAGTTATATGAAACATAATTTAAAGATTGGTATTATTATGGTGGGAGGAGCCCACAAAGGCAGAAGTGCCTAGGGCCCATGAAAGTAATAATGCGGTTCTGCTTAGAACATCACTGCGAGGTGTATTAGGTGAAGAGAGAGTTGCCTATGGTTGCTCTCCTCAGTAACCTTTGTAGTTGAATAAGGATTTGTACCCATATGTCCCTGCTTGAACACTGTAACCACTGTAATACCCTTGGTCTCATAGAGCAGGGATATGGATTTTGCAAGTGGACTCAGTCTTGTGCCTCCCCCAGTGTTAACATGGGGCTAGTGAGGAGACTAGTCAGAGGGTGTCTTTATCTCCTTTTCTGACACCCCCCCCCAAAAAAAAATATCTGAGCCCTGGGAGCCTGTGCCCTAGCTTCTGGAAAAGCAAGGGGAAGATACAGACAAAATGGAGAGATAGCTCTAACTAGGAGTTTCTGTCCTAGTTAAGCTGAACTAATTGGTCCCTACTGAGGAACCATCTGCACTGGCTCCCTCGTGCTAAAAAAAACCTTGGGAGGGGCCACAGAGGGCAAGAAGGCAAGAACTGGGTCTTCTGGCATTAAATAAAATGCTTTTAGCACTTGTTTAGACCTAGGAGCCTGCAAACTCCCTGGGACCTAATGCTTCTGGCACTGAATACATCCCTAGAAGCTTAGCGTGAACACTCACTACAGAAACCGTAGCACACCAAGACATAATAGCAACAAACATGGCAAACCCATGGCTACTTGTGGGGAAATAGCTCTCAGGTGCTGGGGTTTTTTAAATTTTATTTTCTTGGTTTATACGCTGCCTTTCTCCCCATTTCATCCTCACATCTGTCCTGTGAGGTGGGTCAGGCTGGAAGTGTGAGACTGGCCCAAAGGCACCCAGCAGGTTTCCATGGCAAAGTGGGGTTTCAAACACAGGTCTCCCAGATTTCTAGTTCAACACTCTAGCCACTGATAGTGGTTGCCAAGTGTAATCTTTTAATATTGTTCGATGTCTTTAATTTTATTACGTGCTTTAATTGCATGTTTCTTTTAAGCTGCATTGACCCTTTGTGTGAATGACAGGATAGTAACCAACATTCTATGCCTCCTCGAACATCTTAGATCCTCATAGGTGGAGGGTTTTTTTTGGTTAATTTACAAAATCATATTTTTCTGTGTGCTCAGGGAGTTCCTCTGTTATTTAGAAACCCTGCCTTGTCAGTGGGTAACTTAGTGTTGTGTCTTTTATGACTGGCAGTTGGCCAGCCATTTTTAGTTAGATCCAATAATTTTCCTCTTTTGTAGAATGAATAAGAAAAACACAAGGGAGAGTAGTGAGGAAAAACATTTCATGTTACATATTTGTCCATTTACATATATGAATCAAAGGTAAGAATGGAGGTCAAAATCACTACCCAAAGGGCTGATGATTTCCCAGCACACTTGAGAATAATGGTTATATTTCTCCTTGCATAGATAATTTGCACTGTTTCTTAAATAAAATAGCTGCAAAGGAGGATAAAGAGCGTAATTTGTATATTCGTATTTCTGTTGTGATTTTGGAAGATTCCTTTTTTGTTTTGAAATAAATTCCCTTCAGTGTTGGGAATGGTACATGTCATGAGAGCTGTTGTTTCCTTCTGTGCCTGATGCTGTACCTGTATATATGGTAAAAGGTAAAGGTAAAGGTTCCCTTGCTCGAAAGCCAGTCGAATCCGACTCTAGGGTTGCGGTGCTCATCTCCGTTTCAAAGCCGAAGAGCCAGCGCTGTCCGAAGACGTTTCCGTGGTCATGTGGCCGGCATGACTAAACACCAAGGCGCACGGAACGCTGTTACCTTCCCACCGAAGTGGTACCTATTTATCTACTTGCAATTTCTTGCTTTCGAACTGCTAGGTTGGCAGGAGCTGGAACTAGAGACAGGAGCTCACCCTGTCTTGCGGCACCCGGGTCTTGAACCGCTGAACTACTGACCTTCCACAGCCTGCAGTTCAGCGTCTTAACCACTTGAGCCACCGCAGCTCTGTATATATGGTACAGACTTTTTAAAAATACATGTTTGTGGTCGTTTTTAAGAGCCTGGTCCCTTTAGAGATCATTGGCTCTGATTTGGGGCCACAGGTGGGTTCTCCATGAAGCTTTGTTGATTATAATAGCTGAACTTGGGGTGTGCTCAGATTCATGATGCTGCTATCAAGCACGTGAACATCATTATTAAAAATTCAGGCCTATTAAAAACAATCACTTGTAGCACAATAGTGGTGTTGATTGGCATAACTGGTTTCCTAGCATACCTGCTTTTGTAATCCTTCTGCTTCTCTAGGAAGGCTACCACATACTTGTTGCTTCTTCGTTGGGTCCTGAATCTGTTAAGTAGCATTAGTGTTAACTTTGGGAAATGTTTCTCTCTCTTTTTTTAAACAGAAAGTAGGAGTGACAGGAGCCCCAGACCCACAAGTCCGCTGTCCATCGGTCATCGAGTTTGGGAAATATGAAATCCACACCTGGTACTCCTCTCCGTACCCACAAGAGTATTCCAGGTACACACAGACCCTCTCATTACACAGTTGGTATCATGCAGCTGGGTTTTTATCAAGTGAAGAAGATGCATGAACCTTTGTAACTTTAACCGGTATTCTAAATGCACTTTCTTGACTGCATTTTTGTATGAAACAAATGTGTGACAAGGCTAATTTATGCTACGTAAGGAAAGATACTTACTTGCTTATTTTGCATAAGCATTTCCCCAGCGGAGGCTTTTAAATTGTTTTGACTATTTTTAGTACAGATCGTGAAAAAGGAAAGAGAGAAGCATAAAACTTTGAAAACTGGTGTGAGCCCATAAGCTTTACCCAGTATCTTCCCCCCCCCCATTTCTGAACCTTTACTAATGTTGCCTACTGGTGCAAAATGTTTTTAAAAACTCTCAAATGGCACAGCTCCTAGCCTGTAGGCTGTAAACTAACCACATTGAACTGCAAAGCAGAATTTCCCCGTCTTTTAATTAATTATTTTAAAAGCATGTTTTAAAAGCTTAGGAACCGCAGCCTGTGACATTCTACATCAGGAGTTCCATATCTACATGTTGATCCTCCTGTCATTCTGGATAGGGGCTTCTGGACATTTAACAAATGAAAATGAACACTTAGATGCTCTACTGTGGCTCCATTCATGCATAATGGTGGCACATCATGGTTTGTCATTGCAGGAATTAACCTTGGGAATTCTTGGACTCATCATTCCTTGACTCAGAAATAATTTCTCCTGCACTTAAAACAAATTGTGATTTGTCATTACATCTACATTGCAAGACCCCAAGCAGTGTGATTCGGAGGCAAGAAAGTGAACTATAGTTTCCTATTTGGATTAAGTGATAAATTCTAGTTTGTCAGAAATATGGATGTTGTTAATCTCAGAGGCATATGCAAGGGTAGCAGGGAATGTGTGAACCTTTAAGATTTTCAGGGTTCATTCCTGTAATGAGAAATCATGATTTGTCATTGAATATAAATGCAGCCCATAAGTAGCGATACTTGAGGGAAGTACTATTTGGAGCAGAACTTCCCACTGTCAGTGGGGCATGATAGTATTATTCTGAACTGGTAACTTGTGCTGAAATACTTGGTTTGTGAAACACTTTGTGGACTTTTTTTTGCCATCAAGTAGCAGCTGACTTATGGCTACTTGTAGGGTTTTCAAGGCAAGAGATATTCAGAGGTGGTTTGCCATTGCCTGCCTCTGCATAGTGTCCCTGGTGTTCCTTGGTGGTCTCCCATTCAAATACTAATCAGGGCCATCCCTGCTTAGCTTCTGAGATCTGATGAGAGATCTGATGGGCCATCCAGGCCAGGGCTTTGTGGACATATATGTTGCTTTTCTCACTGTACTTGACCACATAGGAACTATGTAAATTATTATTTTATTTGTATGTGTGTTGATAACATAATTAGTTTTAAAACATGCAGTTGCCACATATAAAATAAAAACAACAATATAGAGCTGGATTGTGACTCTGAAGTTCAGGTATTTGCTGGAGCTGGAATTCTACCTAAAGCAGTCTTGTGTAAAGGACTGTGCAGTTTCACATTCAGTGATGGGCACCCTTTGGTTATAATATAGGCTGGAGGCAGTCTCAAGGGTATAATTGAAGCCAACAGATGCATGTCTTAACCTGTTCTCCTTTTGTTTCTATACTGCCTTATGTGTATTCAGTATTCATGCAATGGCTGTCTTCAGCCCTGTCATTTGCCATGGTGGAGAGAATTGCACTGATTGCCTCATCTGAGAATATTGCAAAATGATGCCATGCACAGATATCTCCTGTATCTAAGGACACTTTTTAAAAAGCCATCCTTTTGTTTTGTAGGCTGCCTAAGTTGTACATTTGTGAATTCTGTCTCAAGTATATGAAAAGCAGGACTATCCTGCAGCAGCACACAAAAAAATGTGGTTGGTTCCATCCCCCAGCCAATGAAATTTACAGGAAGAACAATGTTTCAGTCTTTGAGGTATGTTTCAAAGGTTGTTATCTGTCACTGTTCAAGCAGTAGTTTGTGAACTTTGTTTGAGTAAGTTCCGTTGCAGTTCCAAGGCATCTCTGTGCTATTTTAGTGGTGTGTTTACTGTTGCAGTTGGAACTCCACTATGGGTGCGGTTGCATGGATTTGCAATTTACAGTGGTGGATCAGTGGACAGAGAAACAGAAATGAATAAGCAAACTGCCCTCTCTTAAATCAGTTTCTTGTTACTGGCTAAGTTCAACATAAATGTCTGCTGGAGTATTTCTTATTGTTCTTGGCTTTATATAGGTACATTGTGGTATATGTATGGTGGTTGGGTTTTTTATGATCTGTTGGATGCTGAACATTAAAGTCTTCCCCCAAACTGCACACATTCTCCACTTCTTAAGTGTTTTGAGCTGTAGTCCTTTGGATAACTTTGTCTTCTTCGCTTGCATCGTAATCAGATTAATCAAGATGCTCTTCTCGTAGCTGCTTGTTAGTACTCTGTTGTGGACTTGACCTTTTCTCTGCTTCTCTAAGGTGGATGGCAACGTTAGCACCATTTACTGCCAGAACTTGTGTCTGTTGGCAAAACTCTTCCTGGACCATAAGACCCTCTATTACGATGTGGAGCCATTTCTTTTCTATGTTCTGACACAAAACGATGTTAAGGGCTGCCACCTTGTTGGCTACTTCTCCAAGGTGAGTGTACAGAGATCCACCAGCCTTGGATTTTGACTTGTCAAGAGATGTTGGTGCCTTGGCAGCTCTGGACAATCTTAGTTAAGGGCTCTGTGTGCTTTTTCTAAAGTATTATTCTGCACCAAAGTAATACACATTTTGCTTAGGAAAAACGGGTGAGTTCTATAGCACACCTTAGGCAAACCTAAGCACATTTGCATTATTTTGCTTAATTTCCACACTGAATTCTGTTTCTGCTGGTCATGGAGAGGAAATGTATGGATTTATGCATGGTGCTGTGATTCCCATGGCCGATGGTTGATACTCAGCACTATATCTGTGGTTCCAGCTTTTAGTGGGCAGTGTCTATAAATTTTCAAGCATATATTTGATTTGAAAAGAAAAAAAAACCTAAATTTGGATTCTTAACTGAATTTTGTACGAAGTCTCATGTTCTCCATTTTTTCTATGCTGTTGTGGCATATGAACAATCCAGACTGTGACAGTGGACAATGTATACACAAGAATGCTGCTGAATTCCCCCCCCCCCATTCCTACTAAGCCTGTGCATGATCATTCATTTTATTTTGCTGCTAGTCTTAAGTATATATGCTTGAAAATACCTATTGAAATCAGTATTAATGGTGCTGAAATACATGTGACTGGGATTGAGTTTTAGGTTTGGTACAGCCAATTGTATGTGTACCTAAAATAATGCATGTGTAACAGTACTAGGTTTAACCAGATCAATTTCTAGTTGTGCCTCTGAAGCAACTGGTGCAGTTTCTGTATCCTAAATGGTCTTGAAAATTCAATGTTGGCAAAATCCAGGGAACTGAAGCGGTTAATAAGGGCAGCTTTCTTCTTTATACCGTTGAACAGTGTGTATCCTCAAAGGACCATGAATTCCAGCTTAGCAGCTCCAAGGGGAAAGGGTTTTAAATGACTTCTTAGTCCCTTGGGGGATGAAGAGTAGAGCTAGTTGGTGAAGTAAACATTAATTGTTACCTCCACAGAGCTTGTTTCTCAAATCAGATGCTGATCTCATTTCAAAGCTTTTGTTTGCACTTTGGAATAGACACCACAGAGGCTGAATGTGGCTTTAGTATTCCTCATATAGTGGGGGGAGGGGGAGGCACAAGGATTGAAAGATCTCCCCCTTCCCCAGCTGCTGTGCTCTCATAACAAAAGTTCAGCGAGGGAAATCTTGCAAAATCTTGCATCTCTAACCAGAGTCTGCTGTCCCATCTCCATAAATATACTCACAGGTTGCAGTATTCATTTAATGTGCTCCAGTCCTGTGCTTGCTTGGAATTTTCCCTGAATGTTGTTCTTGATTGGGTAGAGGATGATGCAGTAAGCACTTGGGTCCGTAGCAGCGTGATAGAATGATATGCTTTACACTCAGGGGGTTCCAGGCTCAATCACTGCCATCTGCAGTTAAAGCATCACAGGTAGCGGTCTGAAAAAGACCCACGCAGAGAGATGTACTGGACCAGGCAGCTGGCAGTATTGGGCCAGATGTACTGGTTTGACTTGGCTGTAGGAATTTAATATGCTCACTGGGAGACCTGTCTCTCACTTCCTTTCCCCGTTCTGGCAAAGGTTGTATTAGTGGCAACAGCAGTGGCTTGATACTGTTCCATACTCTTTCAGTGAGGACTCTTTTTTTTCATGCTGATGTGCATGATTTCCCCCAGTGGAGGCTATAGCTGTGTCTTTTACAGCAATATTCTTTCAGAATTAATTACTTGTCCTGAACAACTTCTTTTCCATCTCGCTAATCCCTTGCTTTTAAAAGTCTGTTTTCCTCTTTCTCCCTTTTACCAGGAGAAGCATTGCCAGCAGAAGTACAACGTTTCCTGCATAATGATTCTTCCCCAATACCAGCGCAAGGGCTATGGCAGGTTCCTCATCGATTTCAGTAAGCATCATCCCATTTTCTGCTGCCTCTTTAGTTTTATTCTGAAATGTATGAAATAATAAAATCCTCTAGTAATTTGTTTGGCTGTATTTGACTTCAAGGATGTATTGAACTGTTGTGAATTCCAAAATTCACATTTCCCCCTTGTATCTTTCTGTGCAGATATATGTTCAGTCACTTTGCATCCATACACCCCTTCACTTTCCATCCCATCATACTTAAGCCCAGGAGATAGTTGAGAGTAAGATCCCCACACACACTGCATGGACAGGAAGAAGTGTCTGACTCCTTATTTGAACAAAGTCTGAGTCCAGTGGGACCTTTAAGACCAACAGAGTTTTATTCAAGGTATAAGCTTTCGTGTGCAAGCACACTTCTTCAGGTACAGTGAAGAAGTGTGCTTGCGCATGAAAGCTTATAACTTGAATAAAACTCTTGTCAGTCTTAAAGGTGCCACTGGACTCAAACTTTGTTCTGCTGCTTCAGACCAGATGTTCCACCAACAGAAGGAGGGAGATAATTTCACTATCTTCCTGTAGTCCCCCAATTTGCCCCTCATGCCATTCCTGAGGGTCTCCTGACCCCCTTCCCCCCGGAGTAGCATTTCAGGGAGCTTAGGGAGTTGTAGCTGTATGTGTGTGAGGGGGTGAGGTTCTGTTCTGCTGATGGAAGAACCTTCTGTTAGCGGAAAATTTAGTCTGGATCCAACCCAGTGAGAGCAAAGGGAAGTTCAGTTCCATTCCATGTTGCTTTTGGTAATGAGGGAGAAGAGCCATTAACAAAGTCCAGTTAATCACAATCAATCTTGTCACCTGAAAATTTGGAGTGTCCTTGCTCCTTTTCAGTTTATAGATAACCAACCCCAATTGGATTACTTCCTGTATAACAAGTAGGAAGACTCGTATTATGCCCTTTTGAAGGGATGAGCACACTCAGCTGCCTATACAGAGTCAGACAATTTGTCTACCAAGGTGAGTTTTGTCTGTTTTGAGTGGCAGTGGCTTTCAAGGGTTTCAAGTAAAGGACTGCTATCATGCTTACCACTGAACCACAGTGCCCCTCTATGCTAATGCTCACTTTCCCATATACCAGAGATGGAACATGGATTTTTCAACATGAATGCTTTTGTCATCCTTTAAGCAAGTAATCTTGAGGAAACACTGCGCATTGTTATTTCCTGTAGCAAATCATCCTCTCTATTTTAAGGCTGCTTGTACATAATTGCTTGTCAACATGGTAGCCCCTTAATTTGTGTCAGTAATGGACTGCTGAGACTGAAATCTGAGTTGAAGGCATGGGGAAGGAGAAACTCTTATTTCGAGGGTCTCTTGACTTGCCTTTGTGTTATCTAAAGGCAGTTGTCCTTGCAAACTAGGTATGAAGAGAGCTGTTTGAAACCATTTTATAACGACATAGGGTGACAAATTATGGACCCTGTGATGTGGAAAGAATGCCTTTTCTTGGCATTGATGTGCTCTGGCCATCTTTAGACAATGAGATTGAGTTAAAGTCAGGTGGCAACAATGACTAAAAAAACCTCCACTGCCTTTTGTCTCTCATATCTAGCAGCTGTCATTCATCTCTTCGTAGCTTAACTACTGTAATGTATTTTCCTTGAAGATGTTAGAAGGCTGCAACTGATGCAAAGCCCAGCAGTTTTCTTGCTGCTAGGGATGAGTCAAAAGAAACATGCTATATGACTGATGGTTGCGTTCTATTAAAATACTGGTTTTAGCTGATACTGACCATATCCATCAGTATGAATGGGTCAGAATTTTCACCAGCAGCTCTAACTACTGATTTTAAATATTTATGATGTAAATGTTTTATTGTGTTTTAACTTTACTGTATTATTGAAGTTGATGTGACCCGCTTTGAGCCCGCTCGCGGGATGGGCAGGATACAAATACAATAAATAAATAAATAAATACATCTTATGTGTTGTGGGTGCTGTGTCTCCCTTTGACCACTGAAATTGGTTAGATGGTGGGTTCTGGCTTAAAGCCCACTCTTCTAGACAACAAAATCCATACCTCATGTTGGAACAAGAGCACAGAGGAAGAAAAAGAGAGACTTTACCGTGTGAGAAGTCCTCAAATGTTGAATTATAGAAAGAGGGCAGTAAGTGTTTAACGTACCTTATTTAAAAAAAAAAATGTATCACCTTTCCAGTGGCAAATAGCTTTCAGTCAGAAGCCAATCTAAAAAGGTTTTACTGCATAACAGAATTCGCTTTCCTTACCTCTTTGGGGAGCTAGTACCAAAGGGTGAGTGCCATTTCAGGAAAAGATTTGTTTCTGGACCCCATTGACAGTGTCAGAAGAATGTGTATGGGGCGGGGGGAATAGGAGTGCTTATTAGCTTGATGGTAATTTCCCCAAGTACCCTGGATAAAAACAGGGGCATTGCTGTTACAGAGAAAACAGACTGGTGTTCAGGAACTGGCGTTGCCCTGAAGAGAGCAGGCCAGAATTGTTTGAGTGTGGCTGTAGTCCAGAAAAACAGACCTTAAGGATAACAACATTGTAGGAGAGAATATTTCCCCTGTTAAGTATCCGCAGTACTAAGTTATTCAATTTCCCCCTTCTTTCTAAAACACCACTCATTCTTTGGACAGCTAAAGATAGAGATTCCATTGTTAGTGTCTGAAATAGTTCTTGGAGGGTTTATTTTCCTTGTTAAGTGTGTGTGTGGGGAAACCCTTGATGCACATCTTCTCTTGGGGACTGCTTCGTACAGCTGAATATAGTCTAGTGAACAGGGAATTTCAGCTGTTGTGGCTGGTTTGGCACTCTTACCTGCATTCTTAGGGCATATTCATTGTATTGGGAAAAATCTGCCACCTAGTGGGTGCTCTGGTATCACTAGCTATCACGATGCAGTCAGATTCCTCAGGGTGTGGCCTCCAAGGCCTTTTCCTGTTTTTCACCAACATTTGTTTCTGTGCCTTCCCCCTTTAATCTGCAGTGAAGCACTTGGTAATTGAAGGCTGGGAGGATTTCTTTCTCATTGTAGAAACTAAGGCTTTTGATTGGAAGGTGGCCATGCCATTGACAGGTTCAGAGGTCAAAATGTCTTCTGTGAATATTAGAGTTGTGTCCCCCTTTGGTGACTGGAAGGGAAATTAATGTTCTGCAGGGAATGACTGAGCCCCGATATCTGAAGGGATTATGGTGGCAGTTTCATTTGCTGAGGTTATCACTGTAGCCCTTGAATTTCTGTCCCACTCTCCTAGCTCTTGTCTCCCGATCCCTACAGCTGATTCCAGAGCAAGTGCCTTATAATGTTGCTTGGCAGTAGAACACAGCCATCTGATGATACTTGGTCCTTAGGGTTGTTGTTTGCTTTCTTTTAGGTTATCTTTTATCAAAACGTGAAGGCCAAGCAGGATCCCCAGAGAAGCCGCTATCTGATTTGGGTCGTCTCTCCTACATGGCTTATTGGAAAAGTGTAATCTTGGAGTGCCTTTATCACCAAAATGACAAGCAGATCAGCATCAAGAAGCTCAGCAAACTGACTGGGATCTGCCCTCAAGATATCACTTCAACTCTGCACCACCTGCGAATGCTTGATTTCCGCAATGATCAGTGAGTTTAGCAGCCTTGTTATTTCCTTGACAAGATTTGCAGGCCTAGAAATGTCAGGGTCATGATCAAGGTCTAAGTTGTGCATTCCTCATACCCTGCAGTAATGCAGAAACTGGGTATGGAATTAGTCTTCGGAGTATCTTAGCTTTCCTTTTTTAAAATAAAAAGCAAGTATGTAGACCCTACAAGTTGCAAAGCTGTCTTTGAAAATATGGTGGCAACAGCTGGTGAAATCTCAGAAGACAGACGATGCTGAATAGAATTTCAGTCAGAGCAGGGGGATTGTGCTCTGAGTATAAAATATACTCTTCTCAAAATTTAATTCGCCCTGGTGCAGAATTTTAATATTATGAAGGCAGATATTCCTGCTTATAGGATCTCTAAGCCTGTGGAGCCAGCTCTCCTCATAGTAGCTGTGCAGACAAATAAGTAGGATAAAATATGGAAGGACAGTTATGTAACTGAAATGTTAGCACTAAAACGGGTTGCATCATTACAGTGTACTGGGGGGGGGGAGGGGAGGGAATGTAATTTGTGAATGATGTGGAGAAGATGAGATTTGCTGCATTTTCTTATTTTGGAGGTTCTGTGGGAGGAGTTGGCATGCACAGCTTTATAAATCACCATATCTCCCTAGTAAGCCAAATCAAGTGCATTGAGTACAAATCTCGCAAAACAAACCAGCATGGATAAATCCTCTATTTAAAACCTGCCGTTGCGTATTGTCATTAGGTCAGAGTGCCATATGTCCTGAGGCTGCATGTATTCTGTGCTACAGTAGAACAGACGTCTGCATAGACACTTACAATTCTGTGCCTGAAAAATTCTGAATTCTGTAATCTGTATGAGATAGACAAATCGAGCTCATTCACACAACTTCTCTTTATACATCATTCCTGGCTTAGTCATGGGGAGAGTTGCAAGGAGCCATGCAAGACACTGGAAATCTTATTCAGCCACTTCTTTGGCTTCAGCAAGTGATGCCCATCCATTTTCAAGTGTATCTTTAAAGCCCTACAGTTTGCAAAATGAGCATATGCACTTTCAGAAAGCTGAATTCTGCACGCACAGCTTTTGTTAGGTGCCCATACAGAATTGTGACAATAACATAACTGTATATAGTCAGATTGTGAAGCCTTTTAAAAGCTGGATTAGTTTCCTTGCAGTTTTGCTCCTTCTTCCAGTATTTGTTAATTGTTAGTACCGATCACACATCAGTATTTGCGTGTCCCAGGTGACCTTTCTCTAAGGATATAGCAGGTGCAATTCTGCCATAGAACTGAGGCCTTTTTCTGTGGCTGTTTCACTGCAGTGGCAGGATGGCCTGGCAGCATGTGGTGATGTGCTGGGGGTAAGACCCTCCTGAGAGATCATGTAAGTAAGTGGCAGAGGCCTGTTTTGAAGTCCAGATATGAACTGGTTTTAGTTAGGGCCCAGACACCAAAATGTCTTGAGACATTTTGTATTCTACATCACTTCTAGCCCCTTCTCTTGGAATTCTGGATTTCAAGTTGAAAGGGGCTGGGCAAGAGCTCAGGAAGGGAATTGGCATCAAGTTAGCTTTGATTTGTGTACCTCTGTTATGTATGTTGCTAGAATACCATTTGCTGCTTGATGCAAATGGTTGTGGTTGTGGCAGAAGCCACAACCAGACCTTTGGTTATCCCTTTTTCCTCTCTCCTTTGTGCTTTGCTAACCTGTACTCATGACATCAACTGACAGAAAAATCTCCCCCCCCCCAAGATTTGTGATAGTTCGTCGCGAGAAACTTATCCAGGAGCATATGGCAAAGCTGAAACAGAACCTTCGGCCTGTAGTTGTGGATCCAGAATGTCTGCGCTGGACTCCTGTCATTGTCTCAAACTCTGTGGTTTCTGAAGATGAAGAGGAAGATCCAGAAGAAGGGGAAAATGAAGAGCAGCTGCAGCCAAAGGAGAGAGACATAGAGGTCAGTGTGGATGGACACTTAAAATCTCATATTTAACATGGGAGCCCTAGAGCAAATTAAATAGAAGCACATAAGTGAGAAGGTCGTGTTTAAATTATGAAGGAATTTAGCATGCCATCCCTGGGAGAGTTGCTTAGAAATTACAAATAGGTGCTATTAAAACAGGACTAAGCTAGAACTGCTTAGAAACATGAGTCAAAATTAGCATCCTTCACCTTTCCTTTTGGTTCTGTTAATTTGCCCCATCCATCCATATGAAATTGCCTTATATTGAGTTGAGCTATTAGTTCATCTAGCTTTAGAAGCAGCTTTTGGTGTTCTCAGCCTCTGCAACTTGAAATACTTTAACTGGAGAGACAAGGAACTGGCTCTGGAATGGCATGCTTAGAAAGCATGGGCTCTACTGAGTGATGGATAGGGCTCACCTGGAATTTAAATCTGAGACTTAACGTACCTAGCCATTTGTTTTGGGTCTAGTCCATGCCTCATTTCATTGTGCTCTATCAACCAGGTGAGCTGAGGCTTTCTGGCATGGGCAATAAGCCATTTGTTGCCACCAAGGTAGCTCTAATGCAGGGGTGGCCAAACTGTGGCTCGGGAGCCACATGCGACTTTTTCACACATATTGTGTGGCTCCCGGTAGGGCAGCTGGGGATCAGTCTTCCCTTCCCCAGCCTGTGTTCCCCTTCCTGGGTAGGCTTGAGGCAGAGGGGAGCAGAGAAAGAAAGCAGCTTTACCTTTAAATGCATTCTCAAAGCCCCCCCCCTCCCCAGGCTACAAATATAATTGTACAAAGAAATATCATTATCAATATCTACTTTTATCTCTTTTGTCTTTATTTTTGGCAGTCTCATTTAATGTTAAAAAAGGCAAATTTGCATATTTTTCAGTAAAAACATGTCTGTAATATTTGTTCACATTATGTGACTCTCAAACATCTGACGTTTATTCTGTGTGCAAGTTTGGCCACCCCTGCTCTAATGCAAGAAAATTGCCTAGAGAAGAGAGGGTAGAAGAAATCGGGAGTCTAGGAGGGGAGAAATCAGCCAGCAAAAGACCTAGGAGATTACTGGAAGAGGGAGTAGTCCAGAAGAGTCAGGGAAGGCCAGAGGGAAGTTGTCTAGGAGGAGCAGGATGAGAATGGGAAGGAAAGAAATGAATATAAACAGGAGCTGTGAGATGAGAGAGGCCCAGGTTCACATACTGATCTATCCAGATCTTAGTCTGCAGGCCTCTGTTTTGAACTGAAATGGTCTTCCTTAGATCCTTGATGGCTATTGGGATGAGCTGTTTCGGGGAGACTTTGAATGTACATGTTTGGGTTTTTGTTTGCATTAGGTGATGAAACCTCTTTGCTGGGAGAAAATAGAGAGAGAGCCTTACTTTCCTCTAGAGAGTGAAAAAAAGCCAGACGTCATCACTCCAGCCAATTCTGTGCGGCCAAACAAGCAGAGTCTTCCCCTGGCTGGTCTTCCTGCAAATAACCAGACATCACGGAGAGGGCGATGGAGTCGGAAGGGGAAGAAGCTTCGGGAGTCCTTCACTGAGAAGGATACGAAACTGCTTTTGGAGGAGAAGTCAGCAATGGCCAGGGGGGGTCGGTGTGGAGAATGCGAGGAAAAGGCAGCCGCGGCTGCTGCAGCAGCTGCGGCTGCTGCCTCTCGGGGGAGATTTGGGGAGAGTGAAGAAAAAAACGCTTCCTCCCAAGGACAGTGTGGCAAATGTGATGAGAAGTCTCCTGTGCCCCGGGGGCACTTTGATAAGGATGAGGAAAAATCTGCTGTCTCCCAAGGGCAATACAGCAAAGCTGAGAAGTCTTCTGTCACCCAGAGGCGATACAGCGACAGCATGGAATTGTGGAGGGGGCAGCTGAAGACCCCTGAGCCCCTGAAAAGCCGAATCTCTGAGGAATGTGAAAGGTTATCCCGGCGCCACAGCGAGGGTGACAGGACACTGTTGAGGCACTTCAGTGAGAGTAGTGAAGACGAGGAGGAGGAGGAACCTGTTAGCCCTTGCTCAAATTCTCCTCCAGTTCTCACCAAACCAGCGTTGAAGCGAAAGGTGCGTCCTTCATCCCCAATTATTTCACACTTATGTGCTACAGTTAGTTTTTTCCTTACATAGTACAGCTTCAGGAAGTCTTTGCTACAAACCCCCCTGGCCTCTGTTAGTCTCTTATATCCTGGGATTGCACAGTGGAACTGTTGATGTGACTGCTTTCTCGGTAGATTTTCTTTGTGTGGAAGTCGATGGTCATCTTTGGGGCTGTGTGTACTTTTCCCATAAGGAAAAAAAAAAGATTTTGGGGATGTGGGGGAAGGTATTTGTGTGTTTTCCTGCATTGTGCAGGGGGTTGGACTAGATGACCCTGGAGGTCCCTTCCTGCTCTATGATTCTATGATTTGATGATCATAGAAGATCAGAAGACAGTTTCTCACTGTTGAGGTGCAAATAGGTTTGCTATCCTGCCTTTTCCTCTGGGTGGAAGAAAACTAGTCTACAATGCACTACATCTTGGCCTTCAGAATCTCACAGTTCATTCTGCTGGGGAGGGCAACTGGGGCAGCTGGTTGAGGCTGATAGATTAATTGCTTTGTATTCTGTTTGCATAAGAAACTGCAAGTGAAAATAATCTGTATTGCTTGCATTTTATCTTTCTGCAGCAGAGTCAGGTTTTTAAAGTTTTAGGAGGAAGGACGGGGGGAGGTAGAGGCCATTCACATTGGAATTCAGTCATTTGTATTGGAAGAGTTGATTGAAATGTGGTTGCACTATCCATGGAAAGGCAACTGGAAATGCCTCTCCGTGTGGGAAGCCCCTCTTGCCCGTGGTGTATCTGTATGGGACCAGAGCCCTGTCAATGCACTTCACGTGGCCAGCTTGTCTCTGCTTTACAAATAAAAAGTACAGCCTTAGAAAAAGGGAAATGAAGCTGGTCAGGGCTTATGTTCTCTTCACATCCAGTCTCTTTGGGATAGCTGGTGTTGCCCAAGTGAGGGCTGGAAGCTTTTTTTTTTTTTAAAGGCAGGCATTAGATGCCAAGTTTTATGTTTATGTGGTATGCACAGAGTACGTAAACTTATAGAGAACTGGGTTCAGTGTCTTTCTCTTCATTTGGTTATTACTCACTTCGTTTTGGCTGTCTCTTTCAGAAGCCAATTCCCCGGAAGAGGAGAGTCCGTAAGCGCAAATATCACAACAGTAGTGTTGTGACCGAAACCATCTCAGAAACAACTGAGGTCCTGGATGAGCCTTTTGAGGACTCTGACACAGAGAGGCCCATGCCTCAACTGGAACCCACCTTTGAGATGGAGGATGAGGAGGATGAGGAAGAAGAGAGTGAACTGTTTCCTAGAGAGTATCTTCACCGCCTCTCGCAACAGGACTCTTTCAGGCATAGGCCCTCCTCCAAGAAGGGGGCTGAAGCTGGAGAGGAGTCTGATGATGCCACTGGTAAGTTTCGTGAATGGAGATGCTTCAGTTCTTTAGCAAGAGAGGTAGTTTCCCCCTCTCTGGTGTCCATCTGAAATGTGCAGAATTGGCCAGCCTGAGTAGTTTATGAACTTTTCCATCAGATAATTATGCAGTTTGTGGCAGCAGAATGACTTGGCCAGCTGCTCTCCCACCTGACATGGCCCACTTGGCTCCTCTGCAGTACAGCCAACCTCAGAAATATTTGCATGTAAATTATGAGTTGGGACTAGAGGACCAGAGTTGTGACCAGTAGGAAACCAGGCCATGTGGTGAGGAGAGGTGCTACAGGTTTGCCAGACCAGGACACCTAAGGCCAGGAGAAGAAAGGTGGTGAGGGTTAGCAGAGCAGGCTGCTAGCTTGACTCCTTTGGGAGTAGAGGAATCTGTGCAGTTTGGTAGAGGGGGCTTCAGAGCACAGACACTGGCTTTGAGATTTAACGAGCAGCTTTCACATTCTTTTTCTGCTGGACAAGAGGTATGACCATAGTCCATAAGCCTAGACCTTATATGAGCATGTACCAAAACCATAGGTATGTCCAGAGACCTACATGAACCAAGATCTCCACAACTGATTGGTCTTCGTAACAAAATTGTGAGCCATTAATTGTGAGCCACCCTGAGCCCGTCCATGGGGAGGGCAGGATAGAAATCCAATTAAATAAATAAATAAAACGTGTCGCCACTGTATAGTGAACATTTTTTTAATATTGATCTGCTAAAAGGTAAGATCTCATCTAGGCTGATTAAAATCAGTATTTTGAGCCAGGAATCTGTTTCTAGGTATGTGGCATGCAATGGGGCAATGGAATAATTAGTGGGATATTGTACATTCTTACTTGGTGGCCACAGTTACTTGAGAGCAGATTCGCAGGAGTAATTGAATACCATCCTCCCAGATAATCTAGAAAGACTTTCTGGCAGTGAAGGGCCCCGAAAGCCTACCAGGGTTAAGAATATTGGATAATAAAGTTAGCCACTAGTACATGACAGAAAATAATACCCTTGAGAAAATTGGGAATTATAAATGTATACTGTGTATCGGCTTCTTTTTATCCCATTTTAATCTATTTTAAATTGTACTGAGCTCTGCAGTTGTGAAACATTATTGTCTAATTTTAGTTTGACATTTCTTCAACTATTAGGCTCCAGGTCTGTAAGACAGGGAATCTCCCTCCATTTGTAAGAACCTTGTGGGGAGGTTCAGCCTTTTGAGATACTAGACTGTAGCTGCCCAGCCCTCCTTGAATTCTGACAGCTAAGTTGCATTGAACATCTTAAGACGGCAGCCACTATGCCCAGATGCTATTTTGAATGATCTGTTAAACTGTTTTCAGAGCAAACTGTTATGCAGTTGTTATGTTTTATTAACTACAGCACCCCCCTACATGCTATAGATTTAATTACCAGGTACTGGGCTCTAATGCTGAAGTATTACTTGTTTTCAACATAAGTTAAATGATTAACACTCTTGTAAGTAGACTCTCCAGCTTTAGTTCAAGAGTGCCATATGGCTGCTGACTGTGTAGTTCTGCAGTGCATGGGGCAAAGTCCCAAACGGGGAAAAAACCTAGGCAACCTATGCCGGTAAAGTGGTGCAAAGCAAATGTGGTGTTTGTGAATATCTCCTGTGGCTTATTTTGTTGTTTCCGATACCCAAGTCCTGAGAGTTACAGGGTTTTAGTTACAAGCCACAAACTTTAAATTGTAGATTAATAGCATAAAGTTCTAGAGTATTTTAATCTTTGGGCCCTAGTGTATGTGTGTGTTAAAGGCACCATTGCAGTGTACATATGTGTGATGCTCTGTCTTGGTGATTGGGGGGGGGTCAACAGTGGGAGGGCTTCTGATGTCCTGGCCCCACTGGTGGACCTCCTAATGGCACCTGGTATTTTTGGCCACTGTGTGACAGAGTGTTGGACTGGATGGGCCTTTGGCCTGATCCAACACTGCCGTCTCTTATGTTCTTATGTGTACTTTGAGGCTCTCTGCTCTGATTTGGTAGATCTGGTAGACCAACTGCAGACTGATGTGGCTCCTAGGGGTGCACAAACCCCCCCCCCCCAATTCGGGTCTTTTGGACCCCAAAAGTATTGGTATTCCAATCCGCTCTTTTAACGGATTTTCGCGCCCAGTCCCTCTGGCATGCGCAGGAACCCCACCACGCATGCCCAGAGGGGTGGGCGTGGACATCCCGCCAGTTCCTTTCTTAACGCCGCGTTGAGTAGACCTATTTTTCATCGGTCAGATCGGTTCGCTTTTGGCTTTCACCTCACAGCTCTTAGGAATTACTTCCTTATTCTAAATTTCCTCTCCTTTCTCTTTTTATTTGTTTGTTCTTCAAAAAAACTTAAAAAAAACCATTTATTTTCTGCTGAGGGGAGTCTATTGATTACCTCAGGCCTTCGGGCTATCCCCCCCCCCACGTTCCCTCTTCTTCACTTTTATGGAGAAGAAGTGGGGGTTTTTCAATAGGTGCAAGGGTTGCGGCAGCAAACTTGCTCCTACCGACTGTCATACCCTGTGCATTTTTTGTCTCGGAGAGTCTCACCGGCCAGAGTCCTGTCGTCACTGTGCTCGTTTTTCTAATCAAATGCGGAAAAACCGAGCTGCGCACCTTAAAATAGCGCTGTTAGAATCGGCCCTTACTCCCACCTCAGCGATGGAGGAGAGACCATCAACATCGACAGCTCTGGCATCGAGACCTGCCTCCGATGCCAACCGCCCAACACTGAAGCTCCCGGCATCGACGGCGCAATTTTCCGCTTCCACGCCAATCAAAAAAAAGGCCAAGGCAAGTAAGGATCACAAGTCCGCGAAGAAGGGCACCTCAAAGTTCCTTAAGGCGGCGAAGAAGGGGAAGGAAGCGGTGCCTGCACTGGGTGATGCCCCTAAAGTGCTTCCCACTCCAACGGCAGTATCGATATCGGAGGCCCAAATTCCTCCACCAATACCGACCATCCAACTATTGGATTCCCCCATCGAACAAGTGGAGCATCCTTACTCCGACATCGAGACGGTAGAGCTCCTAAGTCACCAGATGGGTGCTGAGCCTTCTCCCTCTCCTTCTACTTCATCGGCATCGATGATATCAGAGGCTCCCGATGTCAAAACACATCGGTACCGACACGCTTCTCACAGCACGCAATGTCATCCTCCGCGTCTCCATGTCCAATCTGTCGATATCGACGACCAAGACTACAGAGATGGTTCTCACAGACAGGCTACTGCTTTGTCTCCCAGACGTCCACGGTCCAGAAGTCGATCCCCCCAAGTCTTCCTGCCCCCTCCACCACCAATATCTTGGGATCAACGACAGTTGAGGTACCTGTACGGGGCTTATCCACCATCCATGCTATTCTTGACTCCAGCGGGCTATTCTGATTGGGATTGCTATTCGTCCCACTCTGTTCATAGATCGAGGTCGCCCCACAAGTCGAGACCTTCGGCATCTCTGTCTCGTTCTCCTGCAGACGATCCTTCCCACCATGGTCTGGAACCAAGTCGTCCTCCCAACCCTCAGGTCACTCCAAACCCTGTCGTTCCACCAAAACCTATAGCTTGTCAAGAGGACACTTCGGTCCATATACCACACCAAGACTCCTCTGACTCCATGGAAGAAGACTCGGATACGGAAGCCTCTGAGGCTCATACTTCTCCTGACCATAAATCTCCCAACTGAGGACCTACCCATATCCCCATCCGACAACCTTACGTCATACACAGATTTAGTCAAAAGAATGGCCCACTCTTTAGGCCTCTCAGTCGTCCAGCAGCATCCGCAGGCAACAGATGCCATTTTTGATATAGTCCAGCTTGATACATCCTCCACCTTGGCATTGCATATGTCTTCAGTCCTTTTGCAAGCAGCAAAGGCTCCATGGCTAAAATCCTCGTCAGCCCCAGTGTCCACGAGACGACTGGACCACATGTATAGGGTCCAAGAGGCAGATGCCGAATTCCTATTCTCGCATCCTCAGCCAAACTCGATGGTGATAACATCTTCCTCTAAATCCAAGAGGACACACTCCGCACCTTCTGACAAGGAAGGTAAGAAATTGGATGCCTTTGGCAGACGCTTCTACTCCTCAGGAGCATTGGGAGTCAAGGCCACTAACTACCTGGCCTGCGTGAATAGGTATCAGTATACTCTCTGGGAACGGTTCTCCGAACTTCTGACCCACCTCCCAGAAGACAAACTCCAGGCAGCCAGAGTCATCCAAAAGGAAGGTATGGTGTTGGCAAAACAACAGCTCAACACTACTAAGCATGTCCTCGAGGCATCCTCCAGAACGATAGCCTCTGCAATAGCTCTCAGGAGACAATCTTGGCTCCGCAATACTAATCTGCCCATGGATACTAGATCTTATGTGGAAGACCTTCCATTTGATGGCCTGGGACTTTTCAGTGCCACTACTGATTTTACTTTACAGGAATTAGATAAAAGCATAAAAGCTTCTCGAGCTCTAGGAGTGTCATCCTCTGCGAGGCAACCATACTGTCCCTGCACCTGGTCGAGATCCTGGCAGAGGCGTACCCTAAGTCGTCAGTCTCCGGACGCACAATGGAGACCACGAACATCTTTGGGAGGCCAAAAATCCACCTTCCAGAAACCAAGATTCGGTTCCGGGCAACAATCTTCCCGCACCAAACAGACCAAACCCTCTAAGCAAGGTTTTTGACTTCCAGTCACCGAGTCAGCTGAAACCCGTCTGTCACCTTTTCTTCACACTT